CACTTTTTGCGGTGAAAGGCTGCTGCCCTTTAAGAGTCTGCTGGTACAAGGTCCCCAGGTATAGCACGTCAACTCTGCTCTATCCCCCCCCACCCCCCCATCGTGAATCATAACAATAATAACCTTTGCACTTGGTACATGCAGCTCATTCGAAATGTTTCCCAGGACGTAAGCTTAACGACAGACGGCCTTCTTTGAGGACAAATGCAGAGGCAAACAAATGTCCCACAAACAGCCCGTGAAGTGAGTGACCCATTTTATTTGGGGGATGGTTGGCCTGGCCCCCGGGGTGGGGGAGAGAGAGAGAGAGAGAGAAAAAAACCTCCCTTTTCAAACAGCGTCACGGGAGTCTTTCACGTCCGCCCGAACGGGCAGACGGGACCTCGGTTTGGCGTCTAATCCGAAGGACGGCAGCTCAAAGCAATGCAACACCGCCCTTTTCCCCCAGCGCTCCATTGTCGGGTCACCTTAGACGACGGAGATTGAGTCCGAAACGGGGCGTGAACCCACAACCTTCTGACCCCAGGGGTGAGAGTGCTACCAACTGAGCCGGGCTGACATTTTGCAAAGAGTTTGGTTACGTTTATCATTAATTAACGTGAAAGGCGACGTATTCTCTGAATTACGAGGCAGCTCCCGTTATCCCGATACCCCTCGATACATTTCTGGTGAGGGATTGCAGCAGTAAATACTGATATGGATCACGGAAAGCGTTCGGAAACAGAATGTGCTGCCGGGGCCCGTGGAAATGTCATCCATTCAATACAACTGTTCAAGGTTGAATGATGGAAGAGTCGGAAGTTCACAGAGTTTCATCAGAGCAGTTTGGGGGGTGAGTCGGGGAGGAGAATTTTTTTTTAAATAGAGCTTTCACTTTTCTTTGGAAGCTTTTCTGCTGCGTGTGTTCTCACCTCCTGCAGACGATTGAGGGCACTTGGATGATGGAGCTCCAGATAGAGCCAGTTGTTCCAACGGGACTTAACGGCCCCTTTTTGATCGCCCGTTGTCGATGCAAACGCAGCGAGAAAGCGATCTCCGTATAAAACCGCCTCTAAAAATCCTCCTGCGCCTCAGTCAAAAGTGGACCCTGGGGTTCCACACCCGCCTGTGATCATCGTCCCATCACGAGCCACATTTCTCCCGCCGCGGTTTTAATGATGAGGATTGTAACAGTTTGAGATAGCGTCACGTCCAACACAGCATACGGCGCCGTACCATTCCCTACAGTGTACAGTCTTCCACAGTGGAGTCCTGTGGCGTAGTGGTTAGAGCCTTCCAAGCGGGAGGACCCGGGTTCGATCCCCGAGTGGGGCAAAATCCTTAGTTCAGGTTTCCTTACTCCCACCCGCCTCTGTTCACTCAGCAGTCGGTAGGAACCCGTTTGGTGGATTGTTTCCAAGAAGTGGGAGGGGGGGGGGTAATAATAATCCCTTCAAGATAAATAAGTGGCTGGTTTTACTTTGTAAATATTAATGTCAAATAGTTTTGTAACTCTACCTTCAGCGTTCCACCCCCCCCCCCCCCTCCCATCCACCCACACACACACACGCAGCACCGAGGAAAGAATGGAAATTCCAAGTTAATTATTGTTCGAGCCACAATCCCGAAGCCAAAGTTACATTGTCTGATCTCCGAGTGGTTTATCACAGAAATACCTGAGACCCAACGCGGTCGAAAGCCTTATCGATGCATTCCTCACCTCCCGCCTCGATTATTCCGGAGCGAGCTCCTTGCCGGTGTCCCTCACACTCCATCGTTCGTAAAATCCAATGCATTCGAAGCTCCGCTGCTTGTATCCTCATCAGCACCAAGACTCCGTGGCGCCATCGCCCAGTTCCTACCAGGATCCGCTGGCTCTCCCCCGTTGCAGAACGATTCCAATTTGGAAGATCCTCGCAATCACGTAAAGAAGTGACTTTACGCCCTGACACCTCACCTATCTCTCCGATCTGCTTACTCTCCACTAACGACGCCCATTTGGCTGCCGCGTTTCGCCCTCAAAACACACGTGGGGACAGAGTGCCAGAGTTTCGGGGGCGATGTGGCTGAAAGTGCGTCCACTGGTCATGGAGCGGAGGCCGGAGCCGGTGGAGCAGAGGCCGGAGCCGGTGGAGCGGAGGCCGGAGCCGGTGGAGCGGAGGCAGCGGGTAGTGGGTTTGGGTGGGGGGGGTAAGCAGGTCGGAGAGGAAGGGAGGTGCCGGGGTATGGAGGGAAATCAACAACAGTCCACTGTGTTGGGTTTTAACGACCTTCTCGAGGGAACTTTTTTTTGCTTCCTGCGCCGGTCAACTCCACGCCATTCCGTGAGAGCCCGGCCGGAGAGGACAGGACGTGCGGTCGGTGCCTAATGACCACTTCCTCTCAATTAAGGACCTTCAAGCCCAGATTTGTATTTGTTCGGCACACAATCAGTTTGCAGTTTGTGTTGACAAAGCTGTTTCCTGCGTGAGACGCCATGGACCAACAGGAGTCCCAGGAGCTCAGGGGTTAGAGCCCTCGCCTCGCGGGCGAGAGGACCCGGGTTCGATTCCCGGGCAGGTCAGGGCGAGACATTGGGCAAGTTTCCTCACTCCACACACACACACACACACACGCGCGCCTCTGTGTGTTGGAACCCGATTGGCGGATGGCTTTTCCGGGGGTTAATAACAACCGCTAAACCCAGATATTAGCCTCGTCGCAGAAGACGCGCAGATATTTGCTCGATGCTCTGGATTGGG